ACTGTTTGTCTTCTAGAACGGCATCATATCCTTTTCGGCGGCACTGAACTGAACAAGCCGCACCTGTAATGTTTTTCCTTTCATACTGCACATATTTCCTTTTTATGCATTTTGTGCTGTGTAACAGCAGTACAAAACGCATATTGTCACGGGTTTGTCTGTGTGTGTGTGTGTGTGTTTGTGCCTCACATTTTGTCCCGCACTTTCAACTCAGGAACCACAAAAGATAGGCGACCGAAATTTTAGCATAGTGTTCCCCGCTGGTCACCCGTTGGTGACGCGGCAAATTTAAATTCAGCCTTCCCGTACCCACGGGTAACACTTACGGCTCCCTAAAAGTTTTTCGGGTAAAATCAGTACTTCGGGAACCACGGAAGTCAGGAAGCTGAGATTTTATGGGCATGTCCCCTGTACACGTGTGATCCAGAGAACTTAAATTCAATCTTCTTGTACCCGCGAGTAACACGTATGGCCCAGTGAAAATTTTTGCAGATAAATTATTATCTCGGGAATCACAGAATCTAACAAGCTGAAATTTCAGGGTTGTGAACCTCTGCCCACGAACGATCTTGAAAATTCAAATTCACCGTTCCCGCAGTCTCGACTACCACCTACAGCCCCGTGAAAATTTTCGCGGGTAAATTATTATCTAGAAAACCACAAAATCTACGAGACTGAAATTTTACGGCAATGACCCTCTCCACACGCGCGACCTTGCAAATTCAAATTCAGCGTTCTCGCGCTCTCAGGTACTAGCAACGGCCCATGAAAATTTTTGCAGTAAACTATTAGCTCGGGAATCGCGGATGGATATTCACCCCTCAAGGTTTCAAATTACAAAGCAGTGAAAATCATTAATATGCAATCGTTCGGTGGGCGGAATTGCATAAAACGCATGATCGCACCAGCTAGTATGGTGCGCGTTGCTATTTATTTAATCTTATAAAGAAATAAAAATGTACCATTGTGCCATATTTTACTAACTACATCCTGTGGTAGTTCTGGCACTAGCTCGTCTGGCATCAGTTCTCTTAAAATATTTTTCATGAAAATAAGATTTTTTATGAAAATGAGACTTCATATTAATACCAAAAAAAAAAATTAGCAGATAAGTGGAAATTGCAGTCCATAAACTCGTCTAAACAGTTTAGCATTTCTAAAACATTGATCAAGAAAATTTAATGTAAAAATCAAAATCTATTAAAAGATGCCTGTTGTACATAAAAGTAAAAAATAATGTAACAGTGAGTTTGCACCATAATAGTGTAGAAAGTTTATTTTTTGAAACTACCATTTCTCCAGCAACCAATTTTGGGATCCGATATTAGTGTGTGCCGGCTACAACTAAGGAAAGCTTTTAATTTTGAGCTGCTGGTTGTCGCTTAAAAGAAAAATTTTTTTTTTAAAAATTTTATAAGTTCCCCCACCAACTATAAAAATAAAGACTGTTAATGGAATGAATATTACCAGGCGTCAATCTAGCCGGACAGCTGAAGTGAAAATCTCTCATGTTCGGAGGCGACAAGCAACTTGTACGAGGCGATGAGCATTGAAAACGATGCGACCAGGAGCCATCTTTTTTGCACGCTGAGTATCTGTACTGCAATTACAAAACGTCAGTGTGGCGAAAAGTCTACTTTTTTTCTGATTTCGAAGCCGAATTTTTATTTAATTTACATCAAAGTACTGAACCTGAGATGCTCCGGGACAGAGAAACTGACAGCTTGAACCAATATTAAAACCATTCGTACAATTGTACGCACCAATGTAAACTATTTTCGGAGGCGGACACGTGATTGGTACACATGTTGGGCCGACCCAAACACCGTCTTCCGAACAAACGAGGCGTATTCTGGAATAAAATTCCATCAGCAAATCTTCTCGAGCTTCGCTCTGATCGGCTGCCGCCGTACTACTTTCTTGCCTGAAGATGCATAATCTGAAAATCAGCCCGACAGTGATCCTACCTGAATGACCTTCATAATTCAATAAGCGCATACAGAAAAAACTATGACAACCCATTCTGCACCGATTCTGCGGTCTGTGTTTACAGTTCAGGGATGAAACACGTTAAGAAACCAGTTCAATGT